TCGTGTTGCTTAGATGTGTCTGCCGTCGCTTCGCAGCGACGACAACCTCATCGCGTTTCGAAGGAAGCTCGAGGAGAACGGCGAGAGCTTGCAGGCGTGGAGGAAAGAGCTCCCGTCGCGGATGTTTACCGGGGAGAACGGCGAGGGGTTCGACGTCCTCGACGCGGACGATCGCGCGGGGTGGGAGCTCGTGAAGTCGCTCATGTTCAAAGAACGCGAGAAGAGGAGCAGCGCGACGGGCGCGAAATTTTCCCGCTTCATCGTCGGCAAGAACCCGTTCGTGACCGTCTTGGACGGCATCTTCGGCGCGTCCCCGGACGAGGACGACGCGGAGGCGGGCGGGATCTGGGCGTGGCTCGTGTTCCGAGTCGCGCGAAGCGGCACGAACCGCGAGGGCGGCTTCACCGAGGCGCAGCTGAACCAGTTCAAAGACGAGGGGTCCATCGACAAGACCGAGGACGCGTCCAAGTACCTGGGGTACGTCGCCACGGAGACGCTCGCGAAGTACGGCGTGAAGACGGTCCCGAGGACGGTCGGGGGTGGGGAGGGGGATAAGAAGGCGAAGGCGAGGGTCGCGGGGGGAGGTCGCGGTGGGGGCGAGGGCGAGGGCGGCGACGACGACGCGCCGGCGCTGGAAAAGTTCAACCCGTTTCGAGCGCTCAACGCGGGACTGCAGCGGCTGCAAGGGAAGGAGTGAGGACCTACGGATAGACCCCGCGCGTGCTGTATCTTTAGCGTCATCTCTTACGTACGTCGCGCGGAAAAGCGATTCGTAATGTCTCGCGCGCGCGAATCGTCCCTCGCCGCGCCGGCGGCGACCGCCGAAAACCGAAATAGCTCAGTGCTCGTCTCGTCTCGTCTTCCAGTCTTCGACCACAGCAGCAACTCTTGGACGCCTCACAAATCCATCGCGCGCGGGCGGTTCCTCCTCGCACGATGAGCTGGCAGTCCTACGTCGACGACCATCTTTTGGGCACGGGGCACGTGACCCAAGGCGCGATCTGCGGGACGGACGGATCCATGTGGGCCGCGTCCGCGGGCTTCGACGTGCGCGCCCCGCCCGTCCTCGCGCGTTTTATTAGATCGTTGGACGTCAACTTCCTCCACGACGAGATCCGCTGACCGCCCCCTCGTCTCGCGCAGGTATCCCCCGAGGAGGTCTCGAAGATCGTGGCGGGCATGGACGACCCGTCCGCGCTTCAAGCGGGCGGCGTGTACGTGGGCGGGCAGAAATACATGTTCATCTCCTCCGACGATCGCAACGTGGTGGGCAAGAAGGTGCGACGCGCGGCGACATCATCGTTTTTTTTTTTTGACGCGACGCGTACAGCTGTAGGCACACCGCCGCCCTCGACTCATCGTCCGCGTCCGATCGTCTCCGTTCGCCGCCGCAGGGGAGCAACGGTCTGTTCGTGTGCAAGGCGGCGACGTGCGTGGTCGTCGGCACGCACGACGAGAACATCCAGGGCGGGAACTGCAACACGTGCGTCGGTAACTTGGCGGACTACCTGCAGAACAACGGCATGTGAGGAGGAGGACGCGGAGCGCCCATCGACGCGTGGGATTATTGTTTTTTTCGCGGCGACCGCGACGGCGACCGCGCGGCGGCGACCCGACGGGGACGCGGGCGTTCGTCTCACGACGAGCCCGCGGCCCCACGGTCGGGGACGCGGTCCCGCGCGTGGAGATCGCGCCTTCGTAGCGGTAGTCTTCAGTGAAACGAAAGATGAGCGAACCCGCCGTAGTCCCGCGACTCTAATATTCCACCTCGAGCTGACGTCCTGTCATGTCATGTCAGTCTGGCACTGCAGCCGCCGCCTCCGCCTCCGACACGAAAAATGATCAGTCACTCGCCGCGCCGCCTCCGCGTCCTCGCGCCGCGCCGACGCGGTCGCGATGGGGAAGTCCAAGGACACCACGTCCAAGGCGATCGACCCGATGGCGCTGCATCGCAAGCTCGAACCGCTGTACGAGCTCCTCGACAAAGGGAACAACAAGGCCGCGCTGAAGGGCGCGACGCAACTCTTGGCGAAGCATCCGAACCTCCAGATCGCGCGCGCGCTCAAGGGCATCGCGCTGTACCGCTCCGGAAAGAAAGACGAGGGCGTCGCGATCTGCGACGAGATCAAGGACGAGGGCCCGGAGGACGACAACACGCTGCACACGCTGCAGGTGTTCTACCGCAACGCCGGGATGCCGTCCTCGATCGTGTCGATGTTCGAAGCCGCGAGCGCGCGCGATCCGAAGAACCTCGAGCATCTGTCGCTCTTGTTCTCCGCGCACGCGCGCGACTTCGCGTTCGTGAAGCAGCAGCAGTGCGCGATGAAGCTGTACAGGCTGACGAACGACCCGAAACACGTCATGTGGGCGGTGTGCGGCATCCTCCTCCAGACGAGAGGGATGACGCGCGAAGAGAGAAGAGACGCGACGCTCACGCGACTCGCCGCCGGGATGTGCGCGAAGCTCGAGAAGAACGGCGGCGTGACCGACCGCGAGACGCTGCTCGTGTGCGCCAGGGTGTTGCGCGAGTGCGGGAGAGGGCGCGACGCGCGGACGCTGCTCGAGAGCGCGCTCGCGGAGAAGTGCGTGCCGATGAAGGCGGAGCGGCTTTCGCTGTGCGCGACGCAAGCCGCGGAGGACGGCGATGTCGACGACGCGCTGGCGCACTGGCGGGGCGTTCTGAAAGAGATGCCGGACGACTGGCAGGCGGCGAGCTGCGCGATGGATCTCACCATGCGAGGGACGGTCGCCGCGGCGCCGAGGAAGGCGCCCGCGAGCGCGGGAGGGGATTGGGCACCGGACGACGCGTTCACGGCGGAGGGCGTCCGCGGCGGGGGCGGCGACGGCGACAAAGACGACGTCGCGAGACGCGTCGGCGCGATGGCGCTGACGTCGCCGGACGGGGAGGGCGTCGAGAGAGGCGAGACGCTCGTGCGCGAGCTCGTCGCCGCCGCGGACGAGGCGGGAGGGGCGATGAAAGTCGGACGCGGCCCGTACCTTCTCGAGGTGGAGTTGGCGTATCGAAAATCGCAGCTGAGGGGGTCGTCGTCGACGACGACGACGTCGCCGCCGCCGGCGGGCGCGTCCGAGGATGAATCGCTGCCTGCCGCGATGATGAAGTACTGGCGCGAGTTCGGGTACTGGACGAGCTGCGCGAAGGACCTCGCGCCGTACTCGCGGCGTTTACTGGAGACGGACGCGGACGCGGCGGCGGCGGTTCGCGAACGCCTCGCGTCGGAAGCCGCCGCCGCCGCCGCCGCCGCCGCGAGCTCGGACGAACCCGCGAACAGAAAGCTCCGACGCGCGGTCGCCGCGGAGGCGATACGCGCGCAGCTCGGCTCGTGCGGCGGCTCGTGGCGCGATCGTCGCGACTCGAACGGAATCCTCGGTCCGGCGTTGCCGTCGTCCAGCGGAAGAACCCTCGCGACCGATCTGATGACGCGGTACCGGGAAGCTCGCGAGGTCGTCGCCGGCGCGGACCCACGCGAGCCGACGCCCGCGGACACGCTCGCGCTGCTCGCGGTCAACGCGCTCGCCGCGGAGGCGACGTCGCACGCCGCGCGCGCGTACGCGAACGGCGTCGGCGGCGAGATCGACGTCGACGCCGCCGCGGAGGCGACGCGCGCGCTTCTCGTCGCCGCCGCGTGCGCGTCGGAGGCGGTGCGGAACAGCCCGAACCACGCGGAACTCAGGATCGGTCTGAGCGTGTTGTACACCCTCCTCGGCGCGCACGACGCCGCGTGCGAGACGCACGCGGCTTTAGACTGCAAGAACATACAGATGGACACGATGGCGCACCTGGAGCTGCCGCACTTGGAGGGCGGGGACGACGGGGCCGCGCTCAATTGGTTCGCCGCGCGATCGGATCTGCTCGCGACGGACGCCGGGAAAGACATCACGGAGAACGGCGTCAAGGCGTACGACAACGGCGTGTACACGAAAGCCCTGGAGTTCGTGGACTTTCACCGGCGTTTGAACACGTCGCACGCGCTGAAGAACGCGGCCGTCGTGAAGTGGCGAGCCGCGTTGAGAGAAGCCGTCGTCGGCGACGCCGCCGCGGGGGCGAAACCGGAACTCGTCTTCAACGTCCTGCGCAAGGTTTTGCGCGGCGCCGCGGACGCGTGCGAGCCTCTTCCGACGCGCGGCGCGGACTGGCCGTCGTCGTGCTTCAACGAGGACCTGTGCACGAACCCGGCGTTCTATCCCCCGCACGGCGGCCTCGCGTCGCTCGCGGCGGCGGACTGGTGGCGCAGCCGAGGCGTCGACGCGTCGCCGCGCGCGGGAGCGGAGACGCCCGTCGCGGGCGCGCACGACGTCGGCGTCGGCGCGGGCGCGTCCGTCGCGCACCGCGCGCGATGGCAGCGCGCGATGCGGCGACGCGTCGTCGAGATCCACGCGATGCGCGCGGCGGCGGGCGACGCGGACGCGGACGCCGTCGACGCCGTCGCCGCGGCGGCGGAGGCGCTCTTCGCGACGGACGCCGACGCCGACGCCGACGCCGCGGTCGCGCCGTCCACGCGCGCGTGCGACGCCGCGTCGAACGCGATGCTTCGAGCGCTTCTCGACATCGCGCGCGCGGAAGACGACGAAAGAGAAGGTCGCGCGGCGTCCCTCGACGCGCTCGCGGCGTCGATCGAGGCGAGGTGCGATGACGTGCGATCGGAGTTGCGCCGCGGCGGCGGCGCGACGCTCGACGTCACCTGCGGCGGCGTCGTCGCCGCGACGACGCATCTCGTCTCGGAGATTGGCGCCGGCGCGTTCGCGACGCTCGCGTCGGCGTCGTCGGCGGCGGCGAAGGGCGGCGCGAACGGCGCCGCGGACGCGGCCGTCGCGAACGCGGCGAGAAGGATAAAGGACGCGCTCGCCGGCGTCGTCGCCGCCGCGAGCGCGTTCGACGCCGGCGACGCGACGGCGGCGGCGGCGGACGTCTCCGCGCGTTGCGGAGGCGCCGCGGACGAGGACGTGCTGCGCGAGGTTCTGAAGAACGTTGCGGCCGCGCACGAGGAGACGTTCGAGGCCGTGGCGACGCGCGGGGGGAGGCTCATCGCCCATCTCGGCGCCATCGCGGACGCGGAGTAGAGTCGCCGCCGTGAGGGAGCCTATCTTAGTATATTACGGAATCACGGCGACGCCGGTCGCGTTCTTCTCTATTTCGACGCGTCGTCCACGCCGCTCGCGGCGAACCCGCGCCCAGAGTTGGGATTCGACCTCCCCCCCGACGCCCCCCCACCGCCACCGCCACCGTCGCCGTCTCCGCCACCCTCTTCGCCGTCGCTAATCTCCTTCGCAGGTCCCGACGCCTCCGCGTCTCCCGAGCCCGGGGGTTTGTAGTCGGGGAAATCCTCTCTCAACACCGACTCCTTCGCGTTGTTGATCATGCTCTGGAGGTAGAAGCTCCCGCGGTACTGCCCCGTCTCCGGATCCTTCTCGTTCGCCGTCATGAGCTTATCGTGCCGCTCGAGCACGCACTCGAGCGTCGCGCCCTTCTCCACGCCGAGGACTTGCCTCGCTTCCTCGACCTGCATCACCTTCTTCCGAAACATCCCCCCGGCCGCCGCGCCCTTCGCCGCCGCCTCCTGCGCGACGCCTGATCTCTGCGCGTTCGCGAGCGCTTTGCTGTACGCGTTCGCGACCGCTTTCATCGCGACCTGGCCGCCGGCGACGATCAGGTTCGCGATCAAGCGCGCCTGCGGCGACGAGTCGGAGGAGAGGGCGTCGGACGCGCGTCAGCGCGCGCGCGCGGGGCGGGGCGGGGGGGCGGGGGGAAACGAGGCGCTCGAGACGGCGCGGGAGGGGATCGTCGTCGTTCGAGCTAGGGTCGGGGACGCACCGCCATGGCGTCCGCGCGTCAGCGCGCGCGCGTCGTCGACTCGCGTGGACGGGATCGATCGTCCGCGCGTCGTCTTCGCGCGCGTCGTGCGGTTCGGCGCGACCGAGACCTCGCGCGACGGCGCAGTGACGTCGCGTCGCCGACCCCCCGAGACTCTTCTTCGAGCTTGATGATGGTGAGCTGGCAGCAATTTTCCGAGTTGGGAATCTGACGGATCGTCGCGCGCCTCCCTCCACTCGTCCTCGCGCGGCGAGGCTCGCGCCCGTCCGCGTTCGCGCGTCGGGATGAACCCCGCGCCCGCGCCCGCGCGCGACGGGAGCGGCGACCCGTCCCTCGCGCGCGGTCTTAACCCCGGCGGACGAGCCGAATCGCTCGCGGATCTCGCGGAGCCGCGCCCGCGTCGCGAGCTCGCGTTGTCCCCCGCGCTCCTCGCGTACGACGCCTTCGCGGACGAGCTTCGCGTCGCGCTGAGGAACGGCACGGGCGAGCGCGCGAGCGACGAGGCCGGGATGGGGATCGAGAAGATCATCGGCGCGCGATGGCGACGGATGAGCGCGAGCGAGCGAGAGGCGCACGTGGAAAAAGCGCGCGAGGCGCGGCGGAAGATGTTGTCGCGCGCGGACGCGGACGGCGGCGGCGGCGGCGGCGAGACCGCGGGGAAGAAGGCTAAGAAGAAGCAGAAGCGCGCGGCGGAGGCGGAGGCGGACGTCGCCCCGGACGCGCTCGCGCTAGCGCCCGCGAAGAAGAAGCGCGGGCGCGGGCGCCCGACGAAGACCGCGGCGGCCCCCGCCGCCGCGGCTGCACAGCTGTGCGTCGCCGACGCGCCGCCCGCAGGCGCGCCGAGACCGGTGACGATCGCCGCGCCCGGCGCGCTGGCGGCCCACCCGGAGTCGTCTAAGCAGCGCGAGCGAACGCGCGCGAAGATCGTCCCGAACCTCACGCGCGTCATGACGCCGACGGGCCCTGGCGAGACGACGCCGCCGGGGGCGGAGAATTTCGTCGGGAGGGCCGTGGAAGGGATGGTGGACGGGACGTTCGACGCGGGGTTTCTGCTCACCGCGCGCGTGGACGGCGCGCTCATGCGAGGGATCGTGTGGAAGGAGGAAACAACCGCGGTCGGGAAACGCGGAGGAAAGCGAAGGAAAGCGAGGGGCGCCGCGAGGAGGGAGAACGCCGCGGCGGAGGGGGCCGCGGCGGGGGGGGACGGCGACGGCGCGTAGCCGCGATCGTACAATTACAAAATACGCTTATTAGACCGAGTCGCTCGCGCCCACGGCGCCGCGCGCGTCGCTTTCCCTACAGTACCCCCACCCCCGCGCTCAGCACCCCACAAACACCGCGCCGCCGCCGCCGCCTAAAAACACGCCCTTAAACTCCTCGAACGTCACCTTCCCGTCGTCGTCCACGTCGGCTTCGCGGAAGACGTCCGCGACGACGCCGCACGGCGTCGCCGGCGCCGCCGTCGCGAACGCGGCGACGGCGTCCTCCAACGTCAAGTGCCCGACCCTCCTCGCGTCGAACGCGTCGAACACCGCGCGCGCGCGGATCGTCCGCCTCGCGTCTTCGCGGCGCGCCTTCGCGTCCTCGTCTTCGTCCTCGCCTTCGTCGCGCTCCCCCGTCGTCGCCGCGCGGCTTGATGAGAGTCTGTCGAGCATGTACGGCGAGAAGCGGAACAGGTCGACCTCCCCGCGCGGGCACGACGACGTCATCGCGCGGAGCTCCTCCTTCGAGGGCTTGCATCCGACGAGCGACGCGAACGCGCACTTCAGGTCGTGCGCGTCGAGCCAGCCTTTGTCCCCGGCGTCGAAGCGCTTGAAGCTGCGCGCGATGCGCTTGGCGAGGAGCTCGTCTCGGGGATCGAGCGGATCTCGGCGTCCCCGACACCTCGCGCTCGCCCTCGCGGCGCGCGGGACCGCGGACGCGCGCGCGGACGACGACGACGACGGTCCCGCGGTCGCGGTCGCGTCCGCGACGTCGGCGATCACGCGTCGGTACTCGTCGAACGCGCGGTCGAACCCGGACGTGGTCATGGCGCGCGCGCGCGGCGTGCGCGGGCGCGAGTGCGACGCGACGGCGTCGATCGAATCCTTCGTTCCCGTGCCGTGGGCGTTTCAACAAACGGCTAACAACTGTTCTCGCGCGCGCCGCCGCGGCGAGCTCGTCTACCTACGCTATGTCCCGCGCGCTCTTCTCTAAGAACGCGGCGTCCCTCCGTTTCCGCTCCTTAAACTCGTTCACGAGGTGCTCCATCTTCGCCCGCGCCATCTCGCGCGCGACGAGCTCCGGCCCCGTCAACGGCGTCGTCCTCGACTTCGCCGCCGGCGCCCCGGCCGAGCCGTCCACGCCCTCTCGCGCGCGTCGGCTTCGGTTCTCTCGCGCCCGCGCGCGCGACAGGTACCCCCGCGCGTGCGCTTGTATCACGACCGCGGACTCGGTCTCGACGCGCGTCGGCGGCGCGCGCTGGTTCACCCGCAGCCACTCGCGGTCGCGCCGGGTGGTCTCCGCCGGGCGACGCGTCGTCGTCGTCGTCGTCGTCGTCGTCGAGATCGGCGTTTGCGACGCCCTCGCCCTCGCGCCCGCGGCGCCCCCGGGGCTTCTGTTCCTCCGCGGCGGCGGCGGCGGGGGCGCGGTCTCTCTCTTCATCCGCTCGAACCGCTCCTCGCGCTCGAACTCGAACCGCGCGGCCATCGCGAGGAGGTCGCTCACGATCCCCGTCAGCTGCGCGCGGCTCAGCTTCTTCAGGCGCGCCTCCGTGACGCCCCTCAGGAGATCCACCTTCGCTCGCGCGTCCTCGACCGCGTCTTGGACTTCCGGGTCTTCGAACGCGACGAACGCGTCCGCGGCGACGAGCGCGCCGCCGCCGCCGACGCGCGCGAGCGTCGCGCAGGGGCGCGACGCGGTCGTCATGACGTCGCGCGCGCGCGCGGCGAACTGAGCCGCGCGTCGCGTCGGTTCCCCCGACGAAACGCGTTCGAGTCGAGTTTCGCATTCGTCGCCATCACGCATACGCGCGCCGCAGATCGGAGTGCGCGGCGGGACCTCGTCGCCGTCGCACCCTCGCGCGCGATGTCGCCGGGGAAGGGCAAGCGCCCTCCCGCGGAGGACGCCGACGCGGCGCCGACGGCGAAGCGACCGCGGGGGGCGGCGAGAGACGCGTCGCGCGCGTCGGACGACGCGAACGCCGTCGCGTCCGCGCCGCTCGTCTCCGTGCTGATGCCCTGCCGGAACGCGATGCCGTGGCTTCCCGATTGCGTCGCGAGCGTCCTCGCGCAGCGCGGGCTCGCGAAACGCGGCGGGCTCGAGCTCATCGCCGTGGACGACTCCTCCACGGACGGCTCCAGGGAGTGGCTCGAGGCGTGCGCCGCCGCGCTCGCGGCCGCGGACGAGAAAGCGGGCGAGGACGAGGACGAGGACGAGGACGAGGACGAGGAGGAGGACGAGGAGGACGACGACGACGCGCACGCGTTCCCGCCCGACCGCCTCGCGTGGGAATCCGACAAGGTCGTCCCGACGTCCGTCGCCGCCGCGGTCCGCGCGCGCGTCCGCGGGAACACCCTCGTCGTCCTGACCGTCGCGCCGTTCGGACGGTCCGGTCAGGGCAAAGCGTTGAACCTGGCGTACGCGCGCGCGCGAGGGACGCTCGTCGGGGAGATGGAGAGCGACGACCTCCGCCCGCCGAGGGCGTTCGTCGCCCTCGCGAGGGCGCTCGACGCGAACCCGGGGTGGGACGGCGTGACGTCGCGCGTGGCGCTCGTCGGGTGGGACCGCCCCGGGATGGCGCGGTGGACGCGATGGATGAACGAGGCGTGCGCGGACCCGGAGGCGATGGCGCGGGGGCGGTTTTTGGAGATTCCCGCGCTGAGGGCGTCGGGGGTGTACCGCCGCAGCGCGATGCGAGCGCTCGCGACGGACGCCGAGGTGATGATGGAAGCGACGGCGGCGGGTTCGCGCGGCGCGGGGGTGGTCGAACCCGCGACGGGGGAAGGGACGCGCGGGGAGAGCGTCGACGCGGCGGCGGCGACCGCGGCGGAGATAAAAGCCGCGGCGGAGATTGATGAAGCCGCGGCTTCGCCGTATCGCGACCTCTGGATGATCGACGACGCCGTCGCGGATTGCGCGCACGCCACGGACCCGACGTACGCGCTCCCGTCCAGACAATCCCTGCGACCGACTGGGTGGTGGCCCGTGGACGCGGACTTCTGGCACCGGTGGTTCGCGCTCGGGCTCGTCGTCGGCAAGGTGCCGAAGACGCTGTACCTCTGGCGGCAGTACCCCGCGCAGAGCACGCGGACGCACGACCGGTGCTCGCTCGCGCGGCTGCGCGCGTGCAAGGTGCACTTCCTCCTGTGCGCGAAGTCTGGTGCCATCGCGCGAGGCCGCCCGATTCAGGTCTGGGGCACGGGCGAGACCCTGAGAGCGTGGGCGTCCGAGTTGAGAGACGCGTTGGCGACGCGACCGGCGTGCGCGTTCGTAGACGCCGTCCCGGCCGCGAGAAAAGCCGCGGACGCGGGGGACGCGACACGCGCGGAGGAGCTGCTGGTCGCCGCGGCGCGCGCGGCGGTGCGGGAGATCGAGTACAAGCCCGGCGCGCCCGTCGGGACCGCGCGCGTGAGGGAGGAGGACGAGAAGACCAGAGCCGGGCTGGACGCCGCGGGGGTGCGTTTTTCATCCGCGGGCGGCGGCGGCGGCGGCGGGGGGGGGCGCGCGCCGCTGCGGTTGTTCGCGTTCGGCATGGCGAAAGCGCGCGCGAAGGTGATGGACACGTTCGCGGGGTTCGACGAAAACGGGGGCGATCACTGGTTCGTCGCGTGAGGTCCTCGGGCGCCCGAGCGCGTAGACTAGCTAGCTAGCGCGTCAGGTAGGCAGCCCGAGACCAGTCTGCCGTCATCCGCGTCCGTGCGTTTGCCGACTCCGCCTTTCCGCGTCGTCCGAGAAACTTGTCCGAGTCAACAACGCGCGCGGTCGAGCCCACCGCGTCCATTCCCCGGGGCGCCGAGATGGGGGGATGCCAGTCCGCGTGCTCCGCGCGCGAGCGCAACGTGCTCGACGCCCTGGACGAGCTCGGCGTGCGTCGCGACCGGCTCGGCGGCGTGGACCGGTGGACGTCCGCGTCGCTGCGAAAGCTGTACGTCGCGTTCAAACGCGCGGACAAGGATGCGAACGGGCGAGTGGACTCGAACGAGCTCGCGAGGATGTTCAAGCTCAGGGACGACGTGTACGTGCAGAGGCTCGTGGAGGTTCTCGACGTCGACGGCGACGGCGTCGTCGACTTCAAGGAGTTCGTCGTCGGCCTCGCCGCGTTCGTCCTGTCCGGCTCCTTCGGCCGCGTCAGATTCATGTTTCGACTCTTGGACCTCAACAACGACGGGCGGTTCAGCAAAGACGAGCTCCTCGTCGCCATCAAAGCCGCGGAGGCGCGGCGTAAGGACGAGGCCGAGGTGAGGCGGAGTCGGCGCGGCGGCGACGTGTGGGGGGATCGACGCCGCGCGAACGAGGACGACGCGTCGTTGGCGCCGTACGCCGCGGATCTCGTTCGAGACTTTGAAGCGCGGTGTCCCGCGGAGCTCGGATACGACGAGTTCGTGAACGCCGTGAGCAATCACCCGCGCGTCTTCGCGCCCGCGAACCAGATGTGGAACGCGCTCAGGGTGTACGCGGACCCCGCGGTCGCGCTCGTGCGAGAGCTGCGACGCGCGGGCGACCGCACGTTTTTCGACGGGACGGTGTTGGAGGGCGGCAGAGCCGCGGACCTGTTCGCCGCCCCGCCGGACGTTCCGGGGCGACTGAGACGACGCGTCGCCGGGCCGGTCGGCTCCGGGCCGAGCGCGGTCGCGGATAAGCGGCTGTGGGCGTGGCTGAACGACCCGAAGCACGCGAGCGGCGGCGGCGGCGGCAGCGGCGGCGGCGGCGGCGGCGGCGGGAGCGGCGGGAGCGGGAGCGGCGCGGCGCCGTCGACGTCGTTCAAGGCGAGGATCCGAAGGGCGCTCACGCCGACGAAGAGCGCGCGGCGACGCGCGCGCGCGCACGCGTACGAGACCGACGACCCAGACTCCCCGCGGTCGACCGCGCCGACGATGTCCGAGTACCTCGCGGAGGAGCTCCTCGATCAAGACGCGACGGCGTTGGGGATGGCGAGCCCGGGAGCGCGCCGCGACCGCGCGCGAGGGGTCGGGGGAGCCGGCGGCGGCGGCGGATCCGGATACCCACCCGGGTTCGTCGACGACGGCGGCGGTGGCGGGAAAGCGACGACGAAAGGGGGATGGGGCGGCGCGGACGACGGCGGGTGGAACCCGAGCGACTCGGGCTCGGACTCGGACGCCTCGCGCGACGCGTCCTTCTCGGACGTCACGATGAACGAGATATGGTCGTCGTTGCGACGCGCGCCGAGCCGCGATGGCGAGACGCTGACGCGTCGAAGAGCGCTCGGGAAGGTGCCAAAGACGCCGACCGCGTCCGCGCGTCGGCTCGCCGCGCTCGAGGAGGCGGAGGCGCTCGCGGCGAACCCGGTGCCGAAAGACTACTACACCAAAGGGCTCGACGCGGGCGTCGCCGCGAAGAAGGTCGTCCTCGCGAAGCGGGCGGCGCGCGCGTGGCGCGAGAAGGATAAGGAAAACGCGCCCGCGGGCTCCGCGGCGGCGCGCTGGGGCGCGAAGACGGCGAACGACGAGCGGAACCGGAACCGGAACGACGCCGCGTCGGATTCCGCGTCCGTCGCGTTTCGCCGACGCGTCGCGAATCACATCGAGGCGACGCCGACGTTCACCAGGGAGGAGGCGGCGCGGCTGGGCATAGACCCGCGCGCGACCTTCGGCGGCGCCGGCGCGCTCGAGGACTGGGAGGAGCTCGAGGCGACGACGGAGGAGGAGACGCGCCGCGCGTTTGGCGTCTTGGAGCGCTCGCGGTCGAAGGCGGCGGAGAACCGAGGGCGGTTCGCGGCGTACAAAGCCGCGAGCGGCGTCAGGCGGCGGGAGTGAATACCTTCTTTTAGTCTAGCTACAACTAGAGAGAGCGTCTTTGAAGCGCGCACGTAGAGATTAGAAAAATGTTATTAAGTACGAAGGTAATTAGTATTACGTCGACTGTAAGTTGAGTCTACTTGATGAAGGACCCGTCCGGCACGGACGCGTCCGCGAAGCACGCCCCCGCGGCGCACCCGACGATCTTCCCGTCGTACGTCGCCTTCCCCCCCCGGACCGTCAGCTTCGTCTTCACCGCGTCCCAGAATTTGCTCTTGCACTCCTTCGGGTACGTCGCCGCGGGCTCGATGCCCTCCGCGCCGACGGCGTCGCCGACGTCGGCGCCGTCCGGAACGTTGACGAGCTTCACCGAGAGCTCCTCGCCGATCGTCGCCTCCGTGGCTAGGATCATCGCCTCCGACGTCTGCCCCGCGAGCTTCGCGACTTTCAGGTTCAAGATGCACAACACCTTGCGACCTCTCAGCTCCTCCTCCGGGACGTACTTGCGCAACCCGGTGACGACCTGCTTGACGTCCTCCTCCCCGGGTCCAATCTGCACCTTGCACAGGTACAGCTTGTCGCTGTTCTCCACGTGCGCGACGTCCACCACCTTGGCGACGACGAGCTTCGCCTTCACGAACGGGTCCTCGTCCGACTGCGGCGGCTGCGGTTGCTTCTCCTTCTTCTCCTTCTTCTCCTTCTTCGCGCCGCCGCCGGGGATCGAACCGCCGCCGCCGGCTTCCTTGCCGCCGCTCTTCGGCTTGATCACGGGCTTGAGCAGCTTCACGATGTATTCGCACGTCTGATCGAACTTCCCCGGCATCGGGTTGTTCCGCTCGAACGGCTTCGTCATGAGGTACCCCGTGTCGGCGCAACGTTCCTGCGGTGCGTCGTCGTGGAAGAGACGTGGGGTGGGGAGGTCGTCGGCGAGCGAGGACGCGAGGGGTGGGTCGTGGGGGACGACTCGGACGAGACCGCCGCGCGCGCGAGCGAACGGAACGACGCGCGATCGATCGCGTCGCGTCGCACCTTGTACACGTGCGGCGGCGGCGCCCAGATGTCCGCCCAAGGATCGTCCGGGTCCACGCGCATCTTCGGGATGTCCGCGGCGTTCATGTCCTTGGCGACCTCGAGGATCAAGGACTCGACTTTGTTGACGCACTCGTCCAGCACGGCGGCCATGGCGGCTCGGGCGCAAGTGAGCGGCCGCGCGTCTTCGACGATCTCAAAACCCGCGCGAGACGACGCGAGAAGCGCGCGAAGGAAAACTGCCGAAAGTTTTCGAGAGGCCGCGGACGAAGACGAGCAGTCGGACAGGGCGCGGGGGCCGGGCGCGAGGGACCGCCGCGAGTCGCGATGCGGCGCCGTCTCCTCTTCTTCTTCCTCGTCCTCCTCCTCGCGGCGTCGCGCGTTCACGTCCCCGCCGCGGCGGCGGACGTCGAGCGGCGCGAGGGCGCGAGCGCCCCGGTCGATGATGAGCGCGAACCAGATTTTAAACTCGAGGTGCCCGATCCCCCCGGCGGCCTCGGCGAGGACGACCCGCGCGTGCAGAGCTGGCGATTCTCCGTTCGCGACGCGCTGAAGAGACGATGGTGGAGCCGCAGGACGACCCCGGCGGAGCACTGGGAGACGGTCCCGCACGCGCGACGGCGAATATTAGGCGTGGACGACGAGAGCGCCGCGTACAGCGGGTACAACTACCCGGGCTCGACCGGCGAGGACGACCGCCCGTACGTGTTCCCGGCCACGACGCCGCCGTCCCCGCCGCCGCCGTCGCCGCCGCCGCCGTCGCCGCCGCCGCCGCCGGGATACGTCGCGCCGCCGCCGCCGGTCGTTCCGCCGCCGCCGTATCCGGTGATTCGCGCGCGCGCGTTTCGCGCGACGGAGGAGGCGACGCTCGTGGACCTGTTCGTGGACTACGCCGGGTTCGGCCCCATCTTCGACGCGGTCGAGCGGTACTACTACGGCCTGACGGCGGATAACGTGAAAGGACCGTTCGACTATCCGATCTTCCACGACGGCGAGGCGCCGAACGAAACGTCCGCGGCGGAGGACGACGACGCGGCGCCGCGGTGGCGGTACACCGCCGCGGGGTGGTCCGAGACGCGGCACGCCCAGCTCGCGTCCGTGCCGATGCACGTCGAAACCGTCTACGTGTCGTTATCCGATTGGAACGGGACGGTGTTGGGGAACGTCACCGCGGTGCCGATCGAGGACGCGAGTCACATGGTGTTGTCTCTCGGCGCGGGGAACGGCAAACGCGTGCACGTCCGGACGTTGTTCGAGCTGACCAGCGCGATGCGAGACCCGCGGGTGAACGCGATCGTCTTGGAGAACCACATCGCGCTGGGGGGCACCGCGCTGCCGCTGATCAGCGGGAACAGGGAGCTCGCGATAATCGGGATGTGCGACGACCCGAACGGGTCGCCGTGGCCGATCCCCGCGACGGAGTGGGCGACGGCGTTTCCGAACGAGACCGCGCCGCCGCAGCGGCGGCGACGCGCGTTGCTCTCGTCGCGGGCGCGCCGCCGACGGCTGCTATCATCGAGCGTGGAGTACGACGCCGTGACCGCCGCGCGCGACCGCGCGTCGTTCCAAGGCTCGATGGAGTACACGGAGGAACAGGTCGAGAAGCTGCTCCTCGCGCAGCGGGCGAGTTTGGAGTATCAGTCCACGCTGACGATCGACGAGATCATCAAGCGCGCGGAGAACAAAGTCGAAGTCCAACCGAACTGGTTCTTCTCGTACAACGCGTGGGCGAACGAGACCGGGGACTTGTTCGAGCGCGGGACGCGCTTCGACGGCGGGTACGTCATGCCCGAGGACTTCTACCCGGGGACGTACCACGAGCACGCCAAGTTTGGCGCGCGCGGATACCCGAGAGGCGGGCCCGGGATGAACGTGTCGTACAACTACGAAAACTGCACGATGGACGCGTCGAACGCGACGTTCGTGATCCCACTCACCGGGCGGTGCGTCGTCGACGGTTTGATGCTATCGAGGCTGTTCGCGGTCGGGGATCCGTCCGACGTGAACTGCGCGTCCAGGATCAACGCGAAGCGCGGGTACGCGCAAGGCGCGGCGGGCGGCGCCGCCGCGACGGTGGTGACGACGCCGGACGGCACGGTGACCGCGAGCGGGGGGTACTCGCCGTGGGGGGACGACGACGCGCCGAGGTGGATGGACGGCGACGCGGAACTGAAGTGCGGGCGGCTGCGGTTGGAGAATTTAGTCTTGAGGAACGGGTGGTCGGAGACGCACGGCGGCGCCGCCGCGGCCGCCGTCGGCGGGGAGCTGTCGATGCGGGGATGCGTCGTCGAGGGGTGCGCGACGGGGGCGCGGGCGGGTCGAGGCGGTGCGGTGGCGAACTTTGGCGGCACGATAGAGATCGCGACGTCCGTGTTTCGGTGGAACGCGGCGTCCATCGCGAACGCGACGGACGAAGGGCCGGGCGCGGAGCTCGGTCCTAATTTCTGGCACTTCTCCGGAAAGATGCGCGTGGACGAGCGCAGCGTCTTCGACGATACGCACCGCTACGTCGTGAGCGCGAGCGAGGCGTTCGGGGCGTGAGCGGTACTGCGCGCGCGGTGTGATAGCGGCCCACGGTGTGATAGCGGCCCACGTTTTTTAATAGTACAACGTGTTAGCGCGAGCACTCGCCGCGGGGCGAGTCGTCTGTTTTAACCTCCCCGCCGAGTCGTCGGTTTTCAGTCGTCCTTCACTCTTCTTGGATGCCGCAGACGAGGTTCAACGGCAGCGCCTCGTCGATCTTCTTCGGGTACGGCAGCCCTAAGTTACCCATGATCTCCACAAACTCCGCCTTGCTCTTCGACAGACGCGGGTTCAGACGCTTCTCCTCCCCCACGGTGCTGCTTCTGTGCCCTTTGTAGTCGTGCGCCGGGTACACGACGGTATCGTCCGGGAGAGTGAAAATCTGCGCGTGCACGCTGTCGTACAACGTCTCCGCGCTGCCGCCCTGGAAGTCCGTCCTTCCGCACCCGCGCACGAGCAGCGCGTCTCCGGTGAAGACCATGTTATCGCACACGTACGACAGGCATCCCTCGGTGTGCCCCGGCGTCGCTCGGACTTCCAAAAACGCGTCGCCGAACTCGACGCGATCGCCGTGCGCGACGTGCACGTCCGCCTTGGCGCCGGAGTCTTTCGCGATCACGGATCGCACCCCAGGGAGCTTCCGCTTGATGAGCCCCGAGCCGGTGACGTGGTCTGCGTGGCAGTGCGTGTTGACCACGTATTTGAGCTTCAATCCGAGGTCTTCCACGAGTTTCAAGTCGCGGTCGACCTGCTCGACGACGGGGTCGACGAGCACGGCGTCGCCGCCGGGGCGGTCCGCGAGGAGGTACGTGTACGTGCTGCTCCCGGCCGTGTCGAAGAGCTGCCGGAAGACGAGAGAACGCATCGGGTGGGACAGCGCGGTCGCGACCGCGCGCACGAGCGGCGGGCGCTCCGTGAACTTGAACGGCGGGCTCGCGCGATGCGCGTGCGAGATGGCGGACGCGGCTGGGAGTTTGTTGACGCGCGCGAGGTGGAGCAGGTACGGGATCCCCGCTCGCGTCGCGGTCGAGCACTGAACGATCGCCGGTCTCGCCGCGGACGCCATGTGCGACGTGAACGCTTCGATGACGTTGGGGGTGAGGTCGTTCAGCGGGTCGAGGAGCGGCACGCACGCGTACGGAACCTTCGCGTCCTCCACGGAAGCGCGCGGGCAGTTCGGGTTCGCGTCGTCGTTCAGGTACAGCCACGATCTCGCCCCGGCGGCGACGCACGCGGCGATCTGTTCGGTCGAGAGATCGCCCGCGAGGACGACGCCGTCGGATTCGTACACGATGCAGCCGTCGGGGAAGGCGGAGGCCATCGTACGGGACGGACGGCAGCGCGCGCGAGAGTGACGAGGCGTTGCCGCCGATGTTATTTGTCACGATATATCCCGTGACACACACGGCACACAGGCTGACAGGGCCGACGACGGCACTTCTCTGCTGGCCTCGGACCGCCGCCGCCGCCGGCGAACGCCGTCGCGATGCCCAATAAGATTTCTCGTTACACAGACTACCACACCCTCTCCCGCGCTCGCGCGTCGCGCCGCGTCACGCGATCTTCCTGATGAGCACGTACACCCTCAGGTCGATCTCCACGTCCGCGAGGTTCTTCGGATCCGCGCGAAGTTGCATGAGCAACCCGCCGTAGGACGCGGTGACGCACGTCTTCGCGATGCCGCCGACGTTTTCGTCCTCTTTTTTGAACACCTTGCCGTACATGACGTACTCGTACGCGTCCGCGAGGCTCTCCTTGCCGGTCTGCGCGGTGGCACGAGGGGGAGGGGAGGGGCGAGGGGTCGGTGAGTCAGTCGTCGCGACGACGATCGATTCCGTCGCCGCGGGAGGCGCTGATTGATGTGATGGATGACGAGGGAAAGAGGGCGCGGGCGCCGAGCGCGCACCTGATCGTACGTCTCCGCGTCCTCCGGGGTGCCGTCCAGGCTGAGCGTCGGCGCGAGCGCGAGCGTGAACTTCGTCCCGACGTCGAGCTTGTAGATGTCCACGTTGACGTCGATCGAGAGCTCGGCCTCGAACTGCGAGCGGCACCGGAACCTGGACACCTTGTCGAATTTCTTCCCGTCCGGATCTTTGTCGATCACCTCGAAGATGTCGTCGAAGATCGTCGTTCCCGAGACCGCGGGAGGCATCTCGCGCGCGCGCTGTGCGAGACGATAACGACGCGATGCGGTCCGCGCCGGAACCCTGAACCGCGGAGCGAGGGACGACGGGGAGGCGGCGCCGCGCGCCTTTCTTTCTCTGGAAATGAATGATGAGGTCTCACGAAGACGATCGCCGCAAAAAATTAGACTAACATGGGCCCTTCAATAGTTCAACAGGTTAAGTTGCAGCGGTCGGTCGTCTGGTCGGTTCGTCTCCTCTCGACACGAGCGAACAGCGAAGTCTTCTCGCGGAAGAAGCTTGTAGAAACAGTCGAGTCGCGTTCGTTCTCCGGCAGTCGCGTCATTCCACAACGCGCGACACACGCCGTCGACGAACCGTAACACACCCACAATGGCGGAGGAGACCGAGACGTTCGCCTTCCAGGCCGAGATCAACCAGCTTCTGTCGCTGATCATCAACGTGCGTCCGCGCTCGCGCCGTTTTCCGTCGCGCGTGTTTTCCCGCGACCGCCGATTTATGTCGACGATCGAGCGGCGGCCGACTTTCTCCTCGCTCGCGACGATCGGCGATCTCCGGGACGTCCTCGACTGACCTTCGATCCCACGACTCCCGCGATGCTTCCACAGACGTTCTACTCGAACAAGGAGATCTTCCTTCGCGAGCTCATCAGGTGCGTCGCAGCCCCGCGCGCGCGTCGCGCGACGTTTCTCCGCGTTTCGTTTCGCGCGGGAAATCGCCGCCGCGCCGCTACGTCTCCGATCCCGTCTCGCCGCGACAAGACGCGCCGACGTCTCCGCGAGATCCCACCCGCTGACCGTCGACCTCCTTTTCTAACCGCAGCAACTCTTCCGATGCGCTCGATAAGATTCGCTTCGAGGGCCTCACGGACAAGTCCAGGCTCGAGGGCCAGGTGCGCGCGCGAACCCGACGACGTCAACGCGCCGCGGCTTTCTTCGCATCTGTTCTTTTTTTTCGTAAGATCGCGACGACGCGGCGCGCGGTCCGACACGAGATCGCGGGTTCGAAACCGCGCGCGTCGCCATCGCGGCCTCGCGCCGCGGTCGACGCGCGCGGTCGCACCTCAGCGCCGTCGTCTTTCGGACGACGCGGACGCGCTCCGCGTCCGCGCGCGCGCCCGCCCCCCCCCAGCCGTCGCCACGACACGTCCCCAGCCGATCCACAGATCTGACCGTCCGCCTCCCCCTTCCTTTTTTTCCTCCTCCCCCGCGCCGCCGCCGCCGCCGCAGCCCGAGCTCTTCATCCACATCATCCCGGACAAGACGAACAACACGCTCACGATCATCGACTCCGGCATCGGCATGACCAAGGCTGACCTCGTGAACAACCTCGGCACGATCGCGCGCTCCGGCACCAAGTCGTTCATGGAGGCGCTCACCGCGGGCGCGGACATCTCCATGATCGGCCAGTTCGGCGTCGGCTTCTACTCCGCGTACCTCGTCGCGGAGAAGGTTGTCGTGTACACGAAGCACAACGACGACGAGCAGTACCGCTGGGAGTCCCAGGCTGGGGGTTCGTTCACGGTCACGAAGGACAACGCCGAAGCGATGGGCCGCGGCACGAAGATGGTGCTCCACCTCAAGGACGACCAGCTCGAGTACCTCGAGGAGCGCCGCCTGAAGGACCTCGTGAAGAAGCACTCCGAGTTCATCTCGTACCCGATCTCTCTCTGGACGGAGAAGACCACGGAGAAGGAGGTGTCCGACGACGAAGAGGAGGAGACGGACGAGAAGGAGGAGGAGGGGAAGATCACCGAGATCAAGGATGAGGACGAGAAGAAGGAGAAGAAGACGAAGAAGGTCAAGGAGGTGTCCCACGAGTGGGCCATCATGAACAAGCAGAAGCCGATCTGGATGCGCAACCCGGAGGAGATCTCCAAGGATGAGTACTCCGCGTTCTACAAGTCGCTCACGAACGACTGGGAGGAGCAGCTCGCGGTGAAGCACTTCGCCGTCGAGGGGCAGCTCGAGTTCAAATCCGTGCTCTTCGTCCCGAAGCGCGCGCCGTTTGACATGTTCGACGGCAAGAAGAAGTCGAACAACATCAAGCTGTACGTCCGCCGCGTGTTCATCATGGACAACTGCGAGGACATCATCCCGGAGTACCTCTCCTTCGTCAAGGGCATCGTCGACTCCGAGGATCTCCCGCTTAACATCTCGCGCGAGATGCTCCAGCAGAACAAGATTCTCAAGGTCATCAAGAAGAACATCGTGAAGAAGTGCCTCGAGATGATGAACGAGATCGCGGAGAACAAGGACGACTACACCAAGTTCTACGAGTCATTCGGCAAGAACCTCAAGCTCGGCATCCACGAGGACTCCCAGAACCGCACGAAGCTCGCGGAGCTCCTTCGCTATCACTCCACCAAGTCTGGCGAGGAGATGACGTCGCTCAAGGATTACGTCACGCGCATGAAGGAGAACCAGAAGGACATCTACTACATCACCGGCGAGTCCCGCAAGGCGGTGGAGAACTCCCCGTTCATCGAGAAGCTCAAGAAGCGCGGCCTCGAGGTTCTGTTCATGGTCGACCCGATCGACGAGTACGCGGTCCAGCAGCTCAAGGAGTACGACGGCAAGAAGCTCGTGTGCTGCACCAAGGAGGGCCTCACGCTCGACGAGACGGACGAGGAGAAGGCGAAGAAGGAGGAGGTCAAGTCCACGTTCGAAGCGCTCTGCCGCCTCATGAAGGACATCCTCGGCGACAAGGTGGAGAAGGTGCTCGTGTCCGACCGCGTCGTGGACTCCCCGTGCGTCCTCGTCACCGGCGAGTACGGCTGGTCCGCGAACATGGAGCGCATCATGAAGGCCCAGGCGCTTCGCGACAACTCCATGTCCGGTTACATGGCGTCGAAGAAGACGATGGAGATCAACCCGGACAACGCCATCATGCAGGAGCTCCGCAAGCGCGCGGACGCGGACAAGAGCGACAAGACCGTCAAGGATCTCGTCCTCCTCCTGTTCGAGACGTCGATGCTGTGCTCCGGGTTCTCCCTCGACGAGCCCAACACCTTCGGCGGCCGCATCCACCGCATGATCAAGCTCGGTCTGTCCATCGACGAGGACCTCGGCCTCGACGACGACGAGGCTGACCTCCCGCCGCTCGAGGAGGACGTGGACGAGGGCTCCCGCATGGAGGAGGTGGACTAATCCTTGACTTTCGCCCCAAAAGTCGCTTCTCGGCGAGGCGGCTGGAGAAGGGAACGAATGAACGCTCCCCAGCGCGCCGCGACACTATTACCCCGCGAGAAGCGCGAGCTCGCGCAGTAGTCACACCTTGTCTTTCATCTAGAGGCGTCCCTCGCGAAAACGTCGCGAGGACGCGCACGGCATAGCGTTGCAATACGAATTCATTTTACACGGCACGTGAACGCGTCTCTTCCCTTCGTCGCTTCGTTCGACCCTCGCGCCGCTTCCGCCGCCGCCCCGCCCGCCGAGCTGACGATGTCGTCCTGTCCGACGTCACCTCGAATCCAAACGTCTTGTCGTCACTCGCGTCCGGCGCGGTCGCGACCGAGGGGCGATGGCGTCGTCCTCGGCCGCGGCGCTCGCCGCGGAGTTCGAGACCGCGAAGCTCATGCGCGAGTGCGCGGAACGAGAGGTCGCGGAGCGCGACGCCGTGGACGAGAACGGGCACCCGGTCATGACGCACCGAGCGGTGGCGTCGATCGTGCGCGAGTGCAAAGGCTTCATCGTCCCCGAGGTGAACGACAAGCTCTGGCTGCAGAACCGGCGGTGGAAGGTCGTCCAGGGCTTGGAGAAGTTCACGGGCGTCGGCGTCCTACACCTGGAGAACAACCAGATCGGCCCGACGCTGGGGCCCGGGCTCAGGCACATGACGAAGCTGAAGCTCCTCAACCTGAGCTGCAACATGATTCGAACCGTCGACGTGAATCTCGCGGCGAACGCGCAGCTGTCGCTGCTGAACCTCGCGACGAACCAGATATCGTCCTTCACCGAGGGCGGCCTCCCCGCGTCGCTGAACACGCTCACGCTGGACAGCAACTGCCTCGACCGCGCGGCCGCGATCGCGCCGCTCGCGTCGCTCCCCAATCTCGAAGTCCTCGACCTCCAGCGCAACAAGCTCGACGGCGAAGACCTCTTCCCGCTGTTCGCGTCGTTCAAAGCGCTGAAGGTGCTGTACCTTCAAGGGAACCCGATCCAACGCGCGCCCAACTACCGCCGGAAGCTCGTCTCGTCGTGCGCGTCGCTGACCTACTTGGACGCGAGCCCGGTGGAGGAGCTCGAGAAGACCGGCGCCGCCGCGTGGGCCCGCGGCGGCGCCGACGCGGAGATTTCCGCGCGGCGGAGCTTCCACGAGGAGAGACGCGCGGCGCAGCGGGCGACGACGCGACGCATCGCCGCGGAGCGCGCGGCGCGCAGAGCCGCGGCGAGCATCGGCGACGACGCGTCCGGGCGCCGCGTGTTGCTCCCCGACGCGATGAGAGCGCTCGCGACGTTCGTCTTGGACGACGCGTGGGCTTCCGCGTTGTCCGAACGCGACTGCCCGGTGTGCGTGCAGCCGCTCAAGGCGGGGGAGAGGGCGCTGCCGCTGGACGCGTGCGGGCACGTGTTTCATCTCGCGTGTCTCAAGCCGTGGCTGACGCAGGCGAGCGCGACGTGCCCGCTGTGCCGCGCCGCGGTCGTCGCGCCCTCGGGCGGCGTCGCCGCCGCGGAGACGGGCGAGGCGGCGAAGGCGGCGGCGAAGGCGGGCGAAGACGCGGACGCGGCGCGGGCGCGGACCGACGGCGGGGGGCTCTCCTCGGACGACATCCCCGGGCGGTGGATGCGCGCTCCGGTGTCAAACTTCGTGTTGAGCATGCCGTCGATCGGCGCGACGCCGTCGCCGGGGGGTTTCTGCGCCGGGAACGATTTCACGGACGGACGAAGCGGCGGCGAGGGCGGGCGCGTCGACGTCGACGTCGACGGCGACGGCGACGGCGACGCGGATCGACCGGAGCGGACGATCACCGCGGGGCAGAGAGAGACGAACGCGATCATTCAGTCGCATCTCCGGAAGCGGTTCTCGAAGCTGTCATCCTCGCGCGCGGCCGTGGAGGCGGACCAGCTCTACGCGGAGGCGATGTTCGCCAGGGCGAAAGAGCGACGCGCCGAGGCGAGGGAAAAAGCGGCGGCGGCGGCGGCGGCGGGCGCGGACGGGGAGGTCGCGACGACGACGACGACGGCGGCGGCGCGCGAGGAGGCGAAGGCGCGCGTCGCGGCGGACGTGGGCGAGACCGCGGGTCCGGTCGAGCCGGAGCCGGAGCCGGAGCCGGCGGCGGCGGCGGCGGAGCCCGAGCCCGAGCCCGAGCCCGAGCCGGCGACGGCGGCGACGCCCTCGGTGGACGGCACCGCCGCCGAGAGAATCGCGTTCGCCGCACAACTGCTCGCGCGAAGCGCTCCCGCGTCGCACTAGGATAAACTGTACATCACGTAGCATGTGTTAGAAAAACGTACAACAACACCCATTAATAATGATGGCACGGCGTGATCCTCACACCCTGTTCCTCTGCTGCCCCCCGCCCCCGCCTTGGTGCATGTTCTTCGGCACTTTGTTCTTCTCGAACAGCTTCCACTGCGCGTTGAACTCCTTCGTGAAGACGTCGCACAGCGCCGGGTTCCGCATGATGATGACGTTCTCGCGGTTCCCGAGCACGGCCTGCCGCGTCCAGTTGAACGACCCGTTCAGTAACGTCTTCTTGTCGATGATCGCGAACTTGTGATGCATGTGCGTGATCGGGTCGCTGTCCGTCCGCGTTTCGATGCCCTCGCTCGCGATCTGGTACACGTCCGAGCCCGTGCACTTCGCCTGCTCGTCGTCCGTGATGACGCGCACCTTCACGCCTCGCTTCTTCGCGGCGATGATCGCCTCAGCGATCTCGTTGCACGTGATCGTGAACACGCACACGTCTAACGTCTTCCTCGCGGCGTAGAGCTCGTCGAGGAATTTGACGAGCGACGTCTTCTGGTGCGAGTACGTGCACTTCGCGCCGCGACGGCACTGCTGGCCGTTCATGACCGCGCGGCACGGCATCCCGGGATCGGGGAAGAACAGCACCGGCGGCGCCACGGGTTTGCTTCCTCCGCAACCCATCTCGGATGGACGTGTCGGAGGTGGGGGGCGCGGGTCGAACGAAGTGCGCGATCGGCGATCGAGGCACCCCTTCAGTTCGTGACGCGGACGACGACGAAATTACGCGTACACGTACTCGTACTCTCTATGGGTTTTTAGTTTGAATCGAATTATCGCACCTCGTGTATTTCCGCGCGACGCGAGCGCGACATCCGCGGTCTCGGAACGGACGGGTGCCGAAACGCGACGATCGCGATCGCGAGTCGACGTCCACAACGCCGCGCGCCGGCATCCCCTCGCGTGGAGGCGACGACGGCGCCTTGTAATCTTCACACACACACACACACATTACCATGGCCACCGCCGCCGCGTCGCTCGCGCTCGCACCCGCCGTCGCGCCGGCATCGCGCCGTCGTCGCCTCCACGCGTCGCGATGCCGGCGCGCGGCGTTCGCGATCAGAGCCTCCGCGGAGGAGGACGCGGAAGAGGCGGTGGATAGACCGCCGCCCGGTTGCTCGAGGTACACGGTGAAGATTCGCAAACCGCTCGGGCTCGTGCTGGAGGAGAAGAGCGTCGGCGGGGAGATCTACGTCGCGGAGATCGTCGAGGACGGGAACGCGGCGAAGACGGGGTTGATAAACGTCGGCGACGTCCTCATCGCGACGTCCGCGCTCGTGTTCAACAGCACGAGCGACTACGGCGGCGTGACCGTGCGAAAGGGCGAGGAGACCGTGAGGCTCGCGTGTCGAGGCGAAAAATTTGACACAGTGATGACGGCCATCGCTACGAACCCGTCGCAGCGGCTCGTGACCTTGGAGTTCCAGAAGTGCATCTGAGGGGAGGAGGGAGGCTAGGGCGCGTAGTTCGTAGGTCGTAAAAATAAAATATTTGGTCTGTCCTTTTAACGCGTCCGTCGTCGCGCCGCCCGCCGCTAAGTTTCTATGATATTCGTCCCTCGCTCGAGGCGTCACTTGTTCTCTCTGAACGCGGGAGGGATGTACGAGTTAGGGTTACGAGGCGCCGCCGGCGCCGCGGCCTCCGCCGCCGCCGTTTCAAACCCCGGCGGCGGCGGCGGCGGCGAGGCTGCGCTCCCCCGCCTCGCGCCGTAAGGGTTCTTCTTGATCCCTCCGCCGCCGCCGCCGCCCCGTCCGCCGTTCGAGTACGGATTCGCCGAGATCGATATCATCTCCCCTCTACCGCGCCAGTCCTGCGACATCGCAGCCTCGCGCTGCGCTTCCGCCGCTTCCGCGGCGGCGACAGCTCGCGTCCGCGCCATCTCTCGCTGCATGCGTTCCATCTCCTGCTGCATCGCGAGCATCTGCGCGCGCTGCTGCTCCAACTCGTGCCGCTGCGCGGCGATGTGATGCATCTCTTGACTCATCCGCCGCCGCGCCGCGAGGAGCTGCGCGTCCGTCGCGTCGAGCGGCGGCGGCGCGGGCGCGGACGTCCACTGCGCCTCCGGCGGGGGCGCGGCGGCGGGCGCGGCGGGTTGCACGAACCCGCCGAGACCCGGGGGCGGCGGCGGACGTCGCGGTGCAAGCTGTCGCTGTTCCTGGTGCTGTCGCTGTTCCCGCCGCTGCTCCGCGACGCGCTCGCGCTCGGCGCTCGCGGCGGCGGCGGCGGTGATTCGATCGAACACGTTCGGTTCCTCCTCTGGCGGTGGTTGGTACGGTGCGGAGGCGAACACGCTCGTGAGGATGTCCCTCGATAAATCCTCCGCCGGCGGCGGCCCCGGCAGCGGTCCCGGAGGCGCCGCCGCCTCCGGCGGCGCCTCCGCCTCCGGCGCCGCCGTCGCTTCCGGCGGCTCTGGACTCTTGCTCTTCGATTTCTTCTTCTTCTTCCCGCCTTCCTCTTTCTTCTGCTTCTTCCGCTCTTCTTTCTGCCGCCGTTTAAAGTCCAAAATAACCTCCATCTCTTCGCCCTCCTCTAACACCGGCGGCGCGTGCTTCTGGGTGATTTTCCTCACCCGAGGCACGGACGCCGCGATCGGTATCGGCGCGCTGTCGAACCCGGACGCGGACGTCACGACCGCGCACCACGCCGCCTTCCCGGTGTCCTCGAACACGTGCCAGAACGGCGGCTTCACGACGTACGACGACAGCTTCGACGCGAGGGATTCGCCGCCGTCGCCGTCGCCGTCGTCGTCGTCGTCGCCGCCGCCGCCAGACTCGAATTTCAGCAACACGTTACACGCTGGCGCGGCGCCGGCTCCCGCCACCGCCGTCGGATCTCCTCTCACGAGGACGTCCTTCGCCGCGATTTTCGCCGCGCTCTTGCTGACGCCCTTGCTCACTTTCGCCCACTGCTCCGGCTCCGGTTCGGTGGGCTCCAAGTCGAGCATCATGAGTCTGCGGGAGGGAGGAGAGGAGGCGGTGAGCGCTGACGCGCCGCGCGGCGACGTGCCGGAATTTATCGCGCGGAAACGAGTGGACACGGGAGGGGATCTGATCGCGACGACGCGGAGGACGCACCGTTGCAGGCGCTCCGCGACGAGGGCGTCGTCTTCTTTCGACGCGCCGCCGCCGCCGCCGCCGGACTTCTTCTTCTTCTTCTTCTTGGAGGACGACGCCGCGGGCGCGCCCGCCGACGACGCGCTGCCGCCGTTCGTTCCTTTCGCCGCCATTTTTCCGCCTCCGCCGGGGCCGCCGAGCTTGTCCCCGCTCGTGGGGAGCTCGCTGAGGGCGGCGAACATGGACATGTCGACGAAGTCGCGCGAGCGTGCGGAGCGTGGAGCCGGTGGAGCGCGGTGCTTACGCGCGCTCGTGGGAGTGGCGGCACGACGCGACGTGGCTCGTTCGTCTCGGAGAAATTGGCGCGCGAACGCGAACGTTCTGTTCACCGACCGCGGCGCACCCTCGCATAAATCGCGGCACCCGCGGCCCCTCTTCCCCCAACCAGACCGCGAGCGCGCGGGCGCGGCGGTCGTCATGGCGAGGCGACGCGGGTCCCGCGCCTCGCGCGCTTCGCGACGCGGCGTCGACAGCGTCATGGACATCCTCTCCCCCGTGACGTACTGCATCGCGACGTGCGTCTTCCTCGTGCGCTTGCTTCGAATCGACGAGAACGCGGGCGCGTCGTACGAGATGTCCGGAAGCGTCGCTTCCGCGGCGTACCAGGAGAAAACGACCGACTCCGCGGGGACGAAGCTCGCGGGCGCGCTCGCGAACGCGCTCGTGTTCGTGACGTTCGTCGCCGTCGCGACGACGATCATCTTCTGCCTGTTCAAGCACGGATGCTCGAAGGTGATCTGGGCCTACATGGGCGTCAGCGGACTCGTCGTCTTCGGCGGCTTGGGCGGCGCCTTGGGCGCGCAGGTTCTGCAAGCGCTGGACATCCCGTGCGACGTCGTGACGTTCGCGGTGTGCGCGGTAAATTTCAGCGTCGTCGGCGTCCTCGCGGTGTTCTTCGTCCCGGCGCCGATCGCCGTGAAGCAAGGATACCTCGTCGCCATCGCGTCGATGGTCGCCTTTTACTTCACGCGAATGGCGGAGTGGAGCACGTGGGTCTTGCTGTGCGCGATGGCGCTGTACGACCTCTTCGCGGTGTTGACCCCGGTCGGCCCGCTGAAGGCGATCGTGGAGCTCGCGCAGGAGAGGGACGAGGAGATCCCCGCGCTCGTGTACGCGGCGCGGA